TTTGTTTTTGATACCTTTTTAATAATTGATTGTTACATGCAATGGCTTAAGTAATAAATTATTTTAAATAATCTATTTTTAGTATTATTAATAATAAATCTTTGATATTATCATTTAATCCATATTAAAACTGATTAATAAAGGCTTTGTCATTCTAATCCATATCAAAAGCAAGATTTTAAAATTCAACAATATATGTGGTAGCTAATTGTAATCCTTATTGTAAAGATAAAAGCTTGATCTTTGCTATTTTTTTCAAATACTTTCTTTGAATGTGGTTGTAAATACTTTTAAGAATGAATTTAAATCATAAAGGATCCATGAATCTTTTACTATCAAACATGCAAACTAAGAAAGAATGCTCTCAAATAGAAGTGGATCTATGAATCCAACTTCAATAAATTCATTAGAATATTAGAAAAAATGAAATCTTAGATAGAACTTGACTTGTTGCAAAAATCCTTGAAAATTTGATCTTGTTCCATTAAACTTTTTAGGCATACTAATCTTTGTCTCTCTCATGCTTATAAAAGTAAGACTTCTCAAATTTTGTTGTGAGGTCAATCTACTTGCTTCTCTCAACTATGTAACTTCTTAGCATAGATTTTAGACTTCTTTCATAGATATAGGAATAGTACTTTTGTGGTTGGCATTGGTGATGCATGAAATTTCCACCTTAAGAGTATTGACAAGATCATGAAGATTTGTAATAGTTGCAAAGCTATTCTCACTTCTGCCAAGTATAGCATCTATAATTTTTCTTTCGATTTCAAATAATTTAATAAATCTATAAGTCAAATTAGAAAAGGATAATCTATAACTTCTAATATCAAATGAGAACTTCTAGAAGGATTAATCTATTCTCTGTAAAGAAAAAATTAGTGTCAAAAAATATTAGTTCAAGGTAGTTAGTCTGCAACCTTTGAAATACAATAATAGAAGAGGAATAATCTACTCACTTCTAAAAACAATGTAAGAACTATGTATTAGTACTCTTGTCAATCTATCAAGTATAAGAACTCAAAGAAGATACATAAATAAGTAAAAAATAAATCAAAAAGAAATGATAAATTAAAAATAAGAAAGTAAATATATTCAATCAAAAAGTACAATGGCTATTGCCAAAGGCTAGGAAACTAAAGACTCTTGAAATTAGACTAGAAGCAAGAAAGAAGTTGAGAAGAATAAAGAAGATTTTATTCTTATCTCTATATATACTATCTATTTAAGAGTTATGTAGCAATGTTCTATAGGACTTCCAACACATGTCAAATTTGCAAGATACATGTCTTAACTTGTAAAGCAAGTTTTCTATAAGTGCGCCATATCATTAGCTTCTATGAAGCTTTTAGGAAGCTTTTCCACCAAATATTATTAAATTAATCTACTTTTACCTATTTCTATCTATTCATATTATCTAGATAATTGTAAGTATATCCATAATAATATTATATAATTTATAATAAAAAATATGTATAAATTTAAATATATCAAAAATAAAATCTTATTAGAAGTTTAATTGAAATATTTGATTTACAAAATCTTGTTTGAATGGAATGTAACTCTATTGGCAAATCAACAAAGATTAAAATGAGTCAATAAAAAAATCAAATTCTATCTAGCTACATGTAATGAAGAGAGCTACATGTTGTTCTACTATTACTTGTAGCACATACCAAATCAAAAACAAATAATTTTTAATAAAATATTAACAACCAATATTTATAAAAAAATATAAAAATATTTGATTAAAAAAAAAATGGCATAAAAATTTTACTCCCAACTTTGTGCCACCAATTGCATTCACTTAATTGTAATAAAATTCAAGAGAATTTGAGTAGATTGTCCATCTACATAAATATTTTAAATCAACTAACATTTGACAGTCAATTGTTTGTACAATTAATCACAATTTCAATAAAAATCAGACATATAAATATTGACCTAAATTTATACATATTTCTACATATGGTTTAAACAAAAAAATGGTGAAATGAAATAATCATTATAATTGAAATTACAATTGAAGCATCTAAAAGCAATCTAGCAGCTATAGAGAATTTGACATCTGTTGCTTACCACTTTCTTCTTCTATAATATAATTTATATATGTATAATTATAATAGATAAGTGATGGTCTATAATTACTATTTTAATAATAATTATTATGCATGATATATATATATATATATATATATATATATATTAAAATAAGTTTTAGAATTTTAAAGTTTAAATTTAAAAATATAAGTATTTTTAGTAAAATTAATAAATATATTTTTAATACTTTTTAATATAATTTTTAAAAGATAAACTAAAACAATTATTTTTAATAATTTAATTTAACAATGTATTTGGACATATCAACTTTAATTATAAATTATTATTTTAAAATAGAAAATATAATTGTACAAATATTTTAATTATAACATTATTTTTTTTTTATCTTCTAATCCATCTTGATAGTATACTAAGTTAGATAAAATTCTACTAGATTATATATATATATATATATATATATATATATATATATATATATATAATTTGATTTAATATCATTTAATACATTAATAAAAATTACAATATTAAAATTAATTATTTGGCTTTCATATAATTTTATACCTATAAATCAACTAAATCCATATAAAATATAGAATCTTAGAATTATAAACAATCATAGATTACATTTTATATAGATTCTCACAATATACATAGATGGTTAAGTTAATAGATTTTTCTTAACATGTGTGACATTGTTTTGTGATGAATAAAACCAAAAACTTTGCAATTTGTTCTTATTGGTTGCTACAATGAACAAATATAAATTAAAAAATCTTGTTTTGTAATAACTTTCTTGAATTGAAAATGCTCAAAGATTTTAGTGTAAACAACAAGTATTTAGGAGTATTAAAATTTTTAAATAGTACTCCTTTATATTATTTGTTTTAAAAAATCTATTTACCAATTAACTAGAAATTAGAGTTTGTTCCAAATCTTAAATTATTATTCTAATTTAGATCTAAGCAAAGTCTTGAAGATTTATGTTTAAGTTTATTTTGAGCTCTTTCTTAGTTACTAATGAAGATTTTATTATAAATTGTGTTAAAGTCATGTGAAATCTCAAACAAAGTTGATGCATCAGCAAAAACTCTTCATACCGGTATTGAGTTTTATCTTATCTCAAAGTAGATGATTCTGATGGAATGATTTGATATCATCACTTTTTAAGACATAGTACTCAAAAACTTTTACAACACTCTGTGTGGTTGTAAATGATATCCAAACCAAACCATTTGACTCTCTTTCTTAATTCTACATTGGACTGTTACAAATGTTAATTTATATAAGCACACCACGTACTTGTTTAATCACAATATATCATCAAAACATACCATTCTACTACTTCAAATTTATAAAATGCAGTTTATCAACAAAAGAATATCGAACACTTGCAAACTTCATAAAACAATGAAGAAACACTTCTATTTCAAATACCAATAAAAATTTAATTAAACACAATCTCTTAACGAGAGTTTTTCTTTTTTCTAATTAATTTAACTATCAAAGACTTAATTTCATCACTTCAGCAACTTATTTCCTTTAGAATCAAAGTCAGTAATAATTCTTGGGTCGCCACCTAAAATTACAAATGTCGTTAACATCACAGAAATGTAATTAGCTTATCATCACCACACTATCTTCACCGTATTGTCCAAACCTCACCTAAAATATAAAGTACCGCATCTATACAAACTCTTTGTCACATATTCTAACCAAGGACCTGCAACACAACTCTTAACCTATGACCACCTCATCTTGTCCTTACATGTAAAATTACTGAGTACCTCACTTTTCCAACTTGGCCAATCCACGATTAGTATTTGAATGCGAACGACTGAATTTAGCAATGCTGTTCTCTGAAACACACCATACGCCACTTAAGCACAATAGAAAATAAGTAATAAATCTAAGAACCATATCCTGCAAGAAGCAACCATCCAACTTACAGTAACAAATCTGGTACTATCAATAGAAGAAAAGAAGAGTGGTCCAATTAAGGTTTCTCATTGACTAAACAAAAATAGCTCAAACATCTGGCATGAAAAATTCATCAATCCTCTTCCTAATGATCACTGGAATATTAATGGGAGTCTGTCTAAACCAGTTCACAAAAAGTTAAGTAAGAGGTCTAATCTTATCGCAAACAGCCGCTCCAAAAAAACTTGGATTACCAATAACACATCCACTACAATGCATGTCTGCAAGGCCCACAAAACAATATTGAACGCCTACATAAATAGCTGAGCGACCCACAGTGACAGCAAATCAATGTCACTATCTGGGAGAAGACTAAGGACAATCTCTTACAACTTTCGGCTGTCAGTGCATCTGTAACAGAACTTCCATAGAAACTCTAATGCAAGCCACAAGTAAAATCTAAAGGGGACAAGTGCACAGCTGAAGCAAGGTAAAATATCACATTTCAAGACGAAAAACGTACTAACGGTTTTCACTACTTATTTTAATTTCACGTCACAAAACGATTCCTTCTCAATATTCATTCGGAATGTGCAGCTTTGTCATACTTATCCTCACTATGTACACATTTCCACACAATCACAAGAATAGATATATTCCATCTTACACACACACCCACTAGTTCTCTCAGTTCCAAACCATTTCAACAGACAAGACTCATCATACACCAGCACCAGTTCACCTCATGCATGCACAGGCTCAGACCCCACTGTATCTTGAGGGCAGCTTGTCCAATGATCAGAAAACTATGAAATCCCAGTAACAGCATATCCCATGCCCGACAACGTGTGCATGCCGCACCATTCATTACCAAATCGACCGCCAACTCTGCCTCAAGCACCAGACACACATACCCTCCCCATTTCAAGCCACCGCATCATTCATCTCTCCAAACGCTCACCTCCAAATCCGAACACACCCAGCCTGCACTCGCCCTGCCCCAAATACTCGAGTGACCTTCATTTCAAAATCTATTCCTGCTTTTCACTATCAATTTTATAAAAAAAAATGTTTCTCAAATGCTCTCCCTGGAGTTTACATATTATTACACTCTGGCCTTTTGCCCCGCTGTGGTGCTACATTCTGCTGCCTGCCACCAACCTCCCAACTGGAGCACCACTACCAGCCAAATGCACAAGCCAACGCTGCGTCCTCTCGTCCGCCGTTGACTGGCCTGCATGGCTGCATGCCACACCTCAGGCTCCCATGTGCCGCGGGCGTGACATCTACAACCGCTCCCCTCCAATGCCCACAACTTCCATCGTCACTCACCACGACCCGCCCTCCAACCGCTTCCCTTTCTTTCACCCCGCTGCCCCACCCTCCGACCCTGGAGCTTGCGACGTGCTTCTTTCCAGGGCGCACGCTCCACAACCCGATCGCGCTCGTGAACAATGCCGCCATCTTCGGCGCTCTCACAACATCCACGCATATGCACAATCCTAGTCTTACCGTTCCCCCTTGGTGGATCTATGCTCTTATTCTTCGCCGCACCTCCACCGCCACCCTACTCGTCCCCGCTTCTCATTCCAGCTCCCGGAAGTACTCCTCTGGAAGCACGGCTGGTGGAACCAGGGCTGCCACGCACTTGAACTGCAAACCCCACACATGCTCACGTTAGACCGTCTGTCCCCGACATTCCTCTCGCCTCACTCCGACCACTCCGCCGCCATGCAAACACCCACCCGACGCACAAACGCCAACCTCCTACGCCGCTAACCCACCTTGTGGTGCCTGTACTTCTCTCGAACCGCAGGAAGTGTGCACCCCCTCGTATTGCACTGCAACTCGTGCATGGCCCTCACACACTGCTCCAGTTCTGATGGCCTGTACCCCGTGTAGTGCTGCAATGTGGCGTCCCACGGACGTCTCGACGAGTCCAGCGTCACTCTCGCCAAATACGCGCAAGACGCGGCTATCATAGACGGCAGGAATGGCAAGAACCCGTACTCCACAAGCGTCAGCTCCGCCAGATAGTTCCCCAGAAACTCCAGCACCAGCGCCGGAGCTTCGCAACCTGCTTGGGCCGCTCTGATGAACCGTCTCAGGAAGCTCTTGATCGTCGGAGTCGTGAGCTCGAACTTCAACACCCGGAGAACTCCCCTCTCCATCTCCAACACCTGCACACCTCCACATCACACCACTCATCATCTACCCCCACATCACCCGCGCCGCACCTCATCCCACCAATCATCGATCACCAATCACTCACAACCCCCACCTCTTCGCGCCCGTACGTGTTGTCCGTGATGTAGCAGAACTCCTCTACTTGGGGGGCGCATATCTCCTCGTACTTTCTGAGCACCACTCACCAACACCTCTCAGCACACCAATCAACAAACAACGCAACCATCCCCTCGCCTCACACTCTCCTCCAATCACCCACTTCCTACCGCAACCGCGCAATCCACAAACAGTTTTGTGTCACTCACGCAGCGATCAGCATGCAAGCCACACCCAGCAGCTGAAGCCGTTGTCGGGTCACCACATGTGCAGAAAGGTATCGATCGATGCACGACACCGTCAGGTACAAAGTGTCGGGCACAAGCTTGTATTCCTCCGCAACCTGTGCACCAATACCCCGCCTCAGCATCACAATCCACCACCACGCACACACACACCACACAATTCGCAATGCGCCGCTCGCCGATCATCAAAACCCACTCCGCACCAATGCACCCCCAACATCCTCACCTCAACCAGCCAATCCACCAGAATTCCTCGCATGCTCGGGTTGATGTCCTGTTGCATCGACTCCATGAAGTTCGCCGATGGCCGCCTTTTCATCTGCGCAACCACCGCACTCTCCGTTCCGTCATTCTGCTCACCCACTACCATGCCCTCTGAGCCCTCCGCCCACACCCTGCTCTCCAACCACTGCCCGCGGGGTCCAGGGTTTAGGCTCTCACCTCCGCCATTCGCAGGTGGGCGTAAATGTCCGTCGCGTACGTAGTACACATCTGAGGGTCCGAGTGATCGTTGTCGATGTCCTCATACCTCGATCCCCCGCTCGACCGCTCTCGCGATTCCGTGCGTCTCTTCCCGCCGAACAGGTCCCCTGCTTCACCACAGGATCCCACATTCTCAATTCCCACACACCACGCACCGCCAATCACCACCACAATCTCACCCCACCACCGACATCCCCCATTCAATCTCACAATCCCACAATCTCACGTCGTCACACTCCACACTCCTCTGTCGCCAGTACCTTGCTTCGTCCGATCCTTCGCCTCTTGGGATAAGCGCAGGTTCTGCAAAGTTCGCCTCTCCAAAGACGCTATCGCTTCCGACTCGCCCCTCGGAGCACCATCAGTCCCACACACCAACACCACCTCCTGTTCCTTTCCCTTACTGGACACCTGGGGCACCTTTCCGGGACACACATTCTCATTTCCTTGCCCGCTCTGCGCAGCTTCCAAATCCACGCCCTTTCCGTCACCCGCCCCACCGATGGGCCTCCCACTTCCACCAACATTCGACTGGTTCGAGATGTCCGAAAGAGCGGCACGCTTCCTAACCGGCTGCGCACCGACGGGTTTCTTACAGTTGCCGACACTACTCCCAGGTCTCGAGCAGCTGTCTTCCGTGGCCGAGCGTTTGGCTGCTGCTCTCGTTCGCCTCGCCTCATCCGAGGCCGTCCCCGAGACAGAACCAGGAGGACGCGGGCGCAACAGTCTTGCACTATCCAGTCCACCTGTCATCCTCAACTCGCGCAATGTTGGGCTCCGGACAGCCTCACGCAGCGGCAGACTACGGTGAACCACGCATGACGAATTTCGCCAGGCGCTTCCTTGCAACCCCTAAACGAGCACTACAGGACTCTATGAATTGCACATCAAATGTGCTGGATGCTTTTGGAGCTACCACTGCAATGTATCACAACAATTGAAAGAAGAACGTTGGGTCACGACGTGCCTGAGGCAATGCAGTTGAAGTTAGGCACTCGCTCGGATTGTTATTATCGCATCCAGGAAAAATGTTTTAGTCCTCTCAAGGCGTTTGATCGGCTGGAAACAAAGCTACGAACGGGCTTCGGATCGCCAAAAAGAGTTGCCCTACTGGCAGCGGACTGGAAATGTTGCATTCCTGTGTATTGCGTACTAGCCTGCGACTTTTCGACGAGAGCAAAAATTGCCTGCGGGCCGCCCGGTATAGCACCCACCTAATTGCTGAGAGTGCAAGAATTGCGCCCAATACTCAGTCGCCAATACACGTTCACAATTGTTCCAATCACCACAGGTCTGAGACAGAGTGCAAGAACGCGACCCGATTGCGCACATCAAAGCGACCATGAAAGAAACCTAACCTCACTCAATTGAACCACACACCAATCCACAGCAGACAGAAAGGAGAGTGAAAGCAACAGCTCCCCGACTTCTGCTGCGAGCAATGCGGAAATCCTCACCACAGCAAGACCTCAAACAGAACGTTCTTGCGAGAGACAGAACATCGAGACATCTCAGTACAAATCCTATTCCTATGGATCTCCCCCCTCACCTCGCTCTTCTCGCTCTAGGTGATTTCTCAACTTGGCGAGACACTGCAAGAAATTCAGAGCGAAAGCCTGGAGACAGACACTCGAATCGATTGGATCAGGGAAGGCGAAGGGTGATAGATAGGGGTTGAGAAGAGCACATACGACGACCGGCGAAGTATCCGTTCTGGGCCGTTTTTGATGCCAGGCAAGCCGATTGAAATTGAAATTTGGAAACGGACGCACTGAAACAGATAGACAGAGACCAGGAGAAGAGCGCATGGCAGGGCGGGGCGGGGCAGGGGCACGGCAGAGAACGGGTCGGAAAAGGGTGAATGGGAATAGAGAGCGGAGGAGGGGCATAGCACTCCGAGGGCGGGGGCGGGAGGAGTTCCTCCCGGTCTGGTTGACGGGATGCTAGGCTGGCCGGGATAGCGAAGGGCGGGGGGGAGGATGTTCAAATCTTTACACCAAAGCGGGATTAAGCGTCGCCCTCCACCCCACCCCACCCCACCCTTCCCCTTCACATATGTCAGCCTGGCGGCCTTTCTTCCGTCTCACTCAAATTCCTGCTTCATTTAATGGCTTTCCCCTCCGCCGGGACTTTCCACCCGGCCCGCCCCCCCTCCCCCCTTCCTCTTCCCCTTCATTGGCTCCGTGTGCCCCGGTTCCCTCTCCCACGCCTTCTCTGTACCGTCGTCGTTCCCCATGGTTCCCTCCACGTGCCCCCCTTGTTCCCTCGCAGGGCCCTCGGTGGAAGTCCATATGAGTTCCCTGACCGTTCCCTGACCGTTCCCATTCGTTCCCCATGAGGGCCTTCCTTGTCCATCTGGAGTTTGTTCAGAACTGCGGACAGCTCTCGTTCCATTGCCAAGTGGAGCTTCCCTTTGGAATTTCGTGCCACGTCATTGTGAGTGCGGGTAGTGTGAATGAGTCCATGTGACTCCAGGGTTTTAAGGATGTTGGCATTGAAAGCCTTTTTGTTGGCTTTATGGGTCACAATCTACATTGGACACTATTTATGGGTCACAATTTAATAAATTAATTTTTAATTCGATGGTTCTCTTGGTATAAATGTGATGTTCGAGCTTTTAATGTTTTTCATGGAATCTCTTAAAAAATTCAACGTGTTTGTGGAATTTCGATACCTCTTATTTAAAAATGTCTTATTTATCTGAACTTTAACTAAAATTTTGATGTAATATTTATATGTATGTGTACACATATTAAGAAAATAAATTGTTATCATCAGGGTATTAATCTTTTTGACAAAATTTAATGACTTATAAAATTCATGAAATACTGATCTAAAAATAAAAAATAAAAAATAAAATATGATAAAATGTTTCTATTTAAATTATAAATATTTTATAAACTATATTATTCAATGTGGCAGGAAATTTTTAATCATCGAAATAGATGAAAATTTTGTCCTACCTGTATGTTATCTTGGTCATCCAAATTTGGGTGCATTTATTTACTGTATGATTGTTTGCCCCAAATCCATAATTTTGTAACGATTAATTTATGTAAACATACATATATATAAATAAATAAAAGTGAAAATAACAGTGACATGATGTTCGACATCAGCTACCACATCATTTCTCTTATATATATATATATATATATATGTATATATATTTATGTTAACTTGTGATTTCGGTTTTTGCTAAATTTTAAATATAAAAAAGAAAAAAGAAAAAAAGTGAATCTGTGAATACAATTATTTTTATTGTTTTGATTTCTTAATTTTATTCAACAAAATCTGTGGCGTACAATTCTGTGCGCTCGTATGTATGTATGTATGTATGTATGTATGTATAAAATTTGAGTAAAAAAGTCTTTCTTTCATATTACAGAGTATGTTTGTTGCATGTGAATTTACCAATGAAGAAGCTCAAGTAGCATTTGTATTTGTAAGCTTCTATCAACATTTTCATTGATTTAAATTATTTGAAGTTAAGAGAGCTAATAAAAATTAAATTAATTAAATATATACTATCATTTTTACGTTGATAAAAGTTTACCAAGTGCAAGGTAGCTTTCAACACATGTATTTTCTTTTTCTTTTTCTTTTGAAATTTTGAAAGACAATCTGACTTGATAAATTAAAGAAAAATTTAAAATTGAAGATTGTATGTTTTTAGATAATTTATTCTTCAAATGCAAGTAGTATACATTTTTTTTCTTTTAGATAAAAGTAAAACCTTTAAATATTTGAGTACAAATTTTATGGTTTGAGATGCTATTACATCTTTTGATTGTTAGTCTATTGCCATCAGATGTGTTTGAATAAAACAATGCTCCATTTGATGTACTTATGATCATTTGTCTAAATGTGTTTCAACAACAGATTTTAAAAAAATAAATAAAAGCAACGGATTTTTATTTTATTTTATTTTATTTATTGATTGTCAAAAGTTTTAATATATCACATTATTTAACAGACTAGCTATCATCATATATATTAAAAATTTACTTCTCCTCCTTTTGATTGCTATTTTTATATTTTGATATTTTCATAGTTTGTAGGAGTATAATTTTATGCCATCAAACATAAATTGTAACAAATCAAACAATAAAAACAATGTGAATACAAATCATGGTTAGCCCACAATATGGTGAATGTAAGCAATCCCATTTAAACCAATGCCTATGTGGTCACATATATCAATAGCTATCCATTACACATCAAAATTTTATATGCATGCAAATCAAACACAATTTACAAATAAATTTATTTTCACATACCATTCAGTAATAAATGTATGAACATATTTATACATATTTTTTTACACTCTTTCCCCTCCATCCATCCATTCGTCCATCCATCTTTTTCCTTTTTGCGGTTCTCTCATTTCAAAAGGAACTTTATTTATTTGATAGCTAACCAGTTTTGTATGCCAGACAGTGAGTGCAGGAAACGAAAGATCCACAGTCATTCATGAGTGCAGGAAACGAAAGATCCACAGTCATTCATCCATTCAAGAGCAAGGACCAAATCCACATTCATTCATCCATTCAAGAGCAAGGACCAAATCCACATTCATTCATCCATTCAAGTAAGCAGCAGGTGGGGGAGATGATGACCCCCCCACTCCTTTCTGACTTGTGTGAATATGCACAAGTTGAGGTTAACCCGTTCCTTTTTCAATTGAAATGAAATGCGGAAAACACACGCTCAAGGGGTACTAGTATTCTATGCATGAAAGACACACACCATGCCAAGTAAGTTACTTGTGTGTATTATGATAACACTCTCTTAGGCCCACCCTCATTTCTTATATAAAACATTTCAAGAGGGATAAACCAATGGAATAAACTAGAGGAGACAAAAACCATCTTTGATTGGTTACATATCTCAATATTTTCATCTAAAGTGAAGAAAAAGCTGAATTATGCAGCAATTGATAGGACTTTAACAAAACAAGGTTTACAGATTCATGGAGCCTTAACAACACATATAATTCTACAACACATATAATTCTACCTCAAAAAAGGATATCATATTGATTTTTGAAATTAATTATTTTTTTGAGCAAAAGTGAACCAATCATTCAACTTTTAATCAATAAGAGATAAAAAAAAAATAATAAATAAAAATCTACATGTTGTTGGTGCAGATTGCCAAGAGTAGCATTGCAAGCTCACTAGGCATGAAGCTCAATAGCTCCCAATTGTAATTTGTAGTAAATATTTTTTCCTGGCCAAGGGCACAGGTTTCCACTAGTTGTGGAATAAAAAGAAAGAAGACTATGGTATGAAATCCACATTAGCTTTACCCTCCCCCAAACCTCATCCACTAGGATGAATGTAAATTGATGTGGGAAGAATAGAGCAGCCATGGGGAAATAGCGGAAATAGCATGTCTCCTTTCTCGGAAAGAACTCAGGCCAAGTTTTTTGTATTTATTTTCGAATGGGAGAGAGGCTTTTTGGACTGTTCTGCCGCAAGGCCTCCCTCACGCACACATTAAACTACAGCACGATTTGTTTGTGGCGTGTGTGATTTGTGGCCTTACTCAGGAAGAAAACTTCGTCACATGAGTGCATAAAACGACGACCGCGACGTGATGAGCTTGCATCACGTTTCGCGTTCATCGCCACCGTCGGCCATCTGTTTTCCCTGTGAAAGCGCACCCACAAGTATCTGTTGGTGGCGCCTTATCCACCCCGCTCCAACATACCGTCTTCAAATCGACGGCATTACTAGCTGCAGCAGCCGGTGTTATCTGATGCTAAATTTACGTTGGAATTGAGATGCAACATTGAGTTGTACACGGTTTTCATGCGATGTAAGAGTCGTAGCATGTTGCATTGGTTTAGGTTCCATGAAGTAACACGAGCATGTCTTGTTTCTTCGGTGGTGAAAAGATCATTTGGGATGTCCTCGGGGAATATGTACTAGAAAGCACTCGTGGATTGTCAATGCTGCAGGTCTAGCGCGGCAAGCGATCGAGGCGTTGTGGTGCGGTCTAAGTGGATTCTTTTAATGACGGATCAGTGTCATGAGATGGGAGTCACAGCGTTGTTGAAGTTCTTGAATCTGGTTTATGAATTGGAGATGACAAATTTCAGTTGCGGTGGTTACCGTAACAAACTCTCTAAAACATTGGGCCATATTAGAACCGTACCCGCTCCAGGAGACATTCTCAAGCGGCATGTGTAATGTAGCAGCAGTGCTGCAGTTTGGGAATTCATCGAAAACCTGTCATCGATTGTTGTGTAGACATAAAAACTTAGTAGGAAACTCCCAACTTCTCACACTTCGAATCTGTTCCTCTCAGTCACGCAAGCTCAATTTTCATGCACAGACTGAAGAACTTCAAAATCTCACTAATCATACTGGAATCCTTGTGTGGACAAGCAATGATTAACTGCAGTCTTTCAGTTCTTGAACTAAACAAAATTTTGGGTCCACGAATGTAGCGAGTTCTTCCCCACCAATAGCGTGCAATGCTTGTCCGAGATTTGAGGAGGATATGGTGGGAATTCTGTTCTATGTACCAGCCAGTTTAGGCGGGAGACATCATTAAGCTGCCTCACCTAAGACATTCTTTGAAATGGCTGCAGGAATGGCAGACTGAGCTAATAGAAAGAGAACCGAAACTACCTTGCCAGAATCTTGCTTCTGCACATAACCATACGATTGTCGACGATGGCGTGCGGAGTACCAGATCGATGATTTGAGTCCAAAATCCAGGAGAGCAAACCATGAAGATATCGAGCATACTCAGTGAAGCTGGCGATACCAGAGTAGAAG